TCCTTCCCTCCCTCCCTCCCTCCTTCCTTCCTTCCTCCCTCCTTCCCTTCTCTTTCTTTCTTTCTTTTTTCTTCTTTCTTTCTCTTTTTCTTTTCTTTCTTCTTTCCCTTCTTCCCTTCCTCCCCTTTCCTTCCTTCCTTCCTTCCTTCCTTCCTTCCTTCCTTCCCTCTCTTCCTCCCTTTCTCCTTTCCTTCCACCTTCCCTTCCTTCCCTCCCCCTCCCTTTTCTTCCTTTCTCCCTCCCTCTCTCTTTCTTTCTTCCTTTCTTCTCTTTTCCTTCTTCCCTTCCTCCTCTCCTCTCCTCTTTTTCCTTCTCCTCCCCTTTTTGAGCTTGTTCTGGGTCTTGAACTCAGGGCCTGGGCGCTGTCCCTGAGCTCTTTCACTCAAAGCTGGTGCTCTACCACGTGAGCCACAGCTCCACTTCTGGTTTTCTGGTGGTTCCTTGGAGATCAGAGTCTCACAGACTTTCCTGCTTTGAACCATGATCCTCAGATCTCAGCCTTCTGAGTGGCTGGGATGGCAGGCGTGAGCCCCGGCGCCTGGCTCTGTGGCATGATTTGGAATGCATGAGCACCCCAGGGGAGGGTCCGTGCTCAGGTTCGATTCCCTTGCAGGTTACCGCCGCGTCCCTCTGTTCTCCAGAACAGGCGAGAGTCTGGAACCTTCTTCACTCTTTGTGTACGTGTGGTACATTCGTGAGGAGAACGGCACGTGACCCCCGTCAGCTCTGCACCCCAATAAAACAGCCAGACCCACGCCCGCTCGTGTTGTTTTCCCCTGCCTGAGTCAGGGAGCAGAAAGAATCACACATGGAAACAGAAAGGTTCAGCTCATCCACTGGTATCTTTTTCTTCTCAACCCTCAGTCCCGGGGCTCGAACTAAGAGCCTGGGCGCTGTCCCTGAGCTTTTCTTCTTGTGCTCAAGGCTGTTGCTCTACCGCGTGAACCACAGCTCCACTAATGGCTTTTTTGGTGGCTTATTGGAGTTTCACAGACTTTCCTGCCCAGGCTGGCTTTGAACCACGATCCTCAAATCTCAGCCTCCTGAGTAGCTGGGATGACAGGTGGGAGCCACGGCGCCCACCATCTTCATTCACCTTTACATATACAAAATGCAGCAACATGAAGGAAGCTGATTTTTCAACTTGCTTGGCATGCATTATTATTATTATTGTTGTTGTTGTTGTTATAGTTGTTAGATGCCAGTCCTTGGGTTTGAACTTAGAGCCTGGGCACTGTGCATGTGTGTGTGTGTGTGTGTGTGTTGTGTGTGTGTGCAGCCCTCAGTGGGGTTTTTAGGATCTGGGCTTTGATACTGTGATTGAAGGTCCCAGGAGAGGTCTGCGTAGAATGACAGTTTTCGTAGGCTCCGTGTTGAGAATAGACGGTGAGAGGTTACAGAAGCAGGGGGCCTGCGTGGAAGGCAATGGGGTCATCTAGGAGGCCATAGGTGGATGATGATAAGTGATCACACTTGATATCTGTTGTTGTTGTTTTGTGTCAGTTCTGGGCCTTGAACTCAGGGCCTGGCTGCTGTCCCTGAGCTGCTTTGGCTCAAGGCTAGCACTCTACCGCTTGAGCCACAGCGCCCTCTACCGCTTGAGCCACAGCGCCTCTTCTGGCTTTTTCTGGTACTGAGGAATTGAACCCAGGGCTTCATGCATGCTAGGCGAGCACTCTACCACTGAGCCACCTGCCCAGCCCTTGGCATCTGTTTTGAAGGCAGAGCTAATGGGAATTCTTGAAGGGTTGTAAGATATATGGATATTTATATGTATATGTGTATACAGGGATACACAGACACACAAATACACACACACACACAACAGCGTGTAAAACTCAATTGCTTTTTATTTGATTGAATTTTACCGAGTGATCACTCTGTGTAATGTGAACCAATTCTAAGAAAATAAAGAAACGTGGTGTCTGAATTAACTACAAAAGACTTGTGAGTTGTCTTCTTGTGCCTTTACTACCCTATTTGTCTTTGGACGACACCAATAACTTGCTTTTTGTGATATATACTCAGAAGTGGAAAAAAGAACCCAAACCCCAAGTAATTAGTGAATAATGTGTAGCTTCACAGCCATGGTCAAATGATGCTATTTCCCAGTGGGTACCATTTTTCTTCTTGGAGCGGAACACTGCAGAGGTAGATGTTAATCGCTCCCACAAACACAGCTTTGCTCTTTACAATAACCATTAACACACGGCCTTCCAGCTCTGTGACCTCGTCATACACAATCTGAAAAGGAAAGACAAAATCAAGAGTGGATCAGACGCAGCCTTGAATGCAGCTTTAACCATTGCTTTAGTTATTTATTTTTTTGGTGCCAATTCTGGGACTTGAACTCAAGGCCTGGCCGCTGTCCCTGAGTTTTTGTGCTCAGGGCTGGCGCTCTACCACTTGAGCCACAGCTCCACTTCTGGGTTTTTGGTGGTGAATTGGAGATAAGAGTCTCACGGACATTCCTGCCCAGGCTGGCTTTGAACTTGGATCCTCCGATCTCAGCCTCCCAAATAGTAGCTTCATGAGCCACCAGCGCCTGGCTGATTATTTTCAACTGAAATAATTTAGCTGCTCTTCTCTTGTGCTCTGGAGTACCCCGGCTAATGAGGAATCTTTCCAGGCTGGTATTGTTTCTGAAACACTGAAGTTTTTCGGGGATCAGAGCACATTTAATGGAAGTGTCATCTTTAGAATTTCCCATTCTCTACAACTTCAAATGGAGAGAGACTGTAATTTCATTCAATAGGAATACATTTAAATATCCTTCAGCTCCAGCCCATCCTTGGATTTCTGGAGCCACGCTGGAACTCAAGCACCCTCTTTCTTGGCTGAAGGCTAACTCGAGGGGCGACGGATGAACGTCTGGGATTTGTGTTTGCTTCTTAGCTATTTCCTCCCCCGTGGGTCGAAGTCACACTGTGATTACAGTTCCCTCCGATCTACGTAATTGTAGCATTGCAATGTACACACTGGTACCATAAAGTGTGTAGGACTCGAACAGGCCTACAATCAGCAGGTGGGGGGAAGGTAATTTGTGTGAGATGGGGTGAGGAAAATCAAAATCAAACATACAGGAAAACCACGTGAGCGAAGATAAGCCAGGGATCATGCTACCCTCACCAACAAACAAAAACAAACAATTCCTCTCCTCCCTCCACAAATGTCCAGCTACTGCTGGGCAGTAGGCCCAATGTGAAAACTTACCACTGCAAGATCTGTATCCTCACAGTTCCCAAAGCTTCTAGAACCTTCCTCAGCACACTAAGCATACTACTATTATTATATATATTTTTTTGGAGAGGGGAGGAAACTCTCATTCCTCGTTGGACTGATGCTGACCATTATTGGAAATAATATCACCCCGAGAAGATAGAACAATAGAACGGGACAGGTTCCACTCACGATCTCGTTGTAAGTGGGGTTGGCGCATCGTGGGACGCTCCTCGTTTTCCTCCTCCGATCATCTCTGGGATGGGGCAGAAGGTAGAATTCGACGTGAGCACTGGGCGCAGAGTCGTCGGGGAGATGCTGGAGACAGAAGTGGCCATCAGTGTTCATGTGTAAGGGGCTGGGCAGGTGGCTCAGGGGTAGAGTGCTCGCCTAGCATGCATAAGGCCCTGGGTTCGATTCCTCAGTAGCACAGACACAGAAAAAGCTGGCAATGGTGCTGTGGAGCGAGGGGTAGAGCGCTAGCCTTGGGCAAAAGAAGCTCAGGGACAGGGCCCAGGCCCTGAGTTCAAGCTCCAGGACAGACCAACACACAAACAAACAAACAAACAAACAAACAAGGCCTCTGCGCCTCTGATCATAAACGATAATATTGATCCAAATGGATTCCAGGAAATGGAAACAAGAGTGTTTTTTCCTTCCATATTGTTTCTATTTCTCTTTGTCTCGTGGGTGGGTTTCTCTGTCTCTGGGAGGGTGAGAGGGGACACAGAAATGGGGGGACAGAGGGGGAAACCAAGGCAGCCGTGGTCCTCACTGGACACCAGGTGGAGAATGAACTCTACCACTCGTGGGTGGGGACGGGAGGGAAAAATGGGGAGAGAGCGAGGGAAGGGGGACAGGGTCCACTGAGAAATGCGCTCGTGACCCGACTGATGTCACTGTCACCCCTCTGCCCGTCACCTTTGTCATCACAATAAAAAAGTAACAAAGTATTCATGTGTGTAGATATCAGAGAAAACAAGAACATAGCCACTAAGCACCCAGAAGGAAGGCAAGATCGAGACTTAACCACCGCTGGGTGCATCAGGAAGTAAGAGAGAAATCAAAGTATCTGTGAGAAGGAATGTTACCCAACCATTCCTAAGGAAATGGAATGATTTGGAAATACTTATTAATATCATTAACTAATATTACAATTATTACAAATTATTAAATGAAGTAAACCAGATGCAGACGGATACAGATTGCGTTGTTTTCCCTCATTCGTAGGGGCTGGAGTACACCTATAAAATCTACGAGTAAACACACTGGGTGGAGAGCAACGGTTTACAAACATATTAGTGGAACTGTAATAGATCCTATGGGGAGATCAAATAGGCTAATTCTTCTTCTTATTCCTGGGGCCTGAACTCTGGGTCTGGGCACTGTCCCTCAGCTCTTCAGCTCAACCACTTCAACGCTCTACCACTTGAGCCACAGCAACACTTCCAGTTTTCTGAGTGGTTTATTGGAGATCAGAGTCTCCTGGACTTTCTTGCCCGGGCTGGCTTTGAACTGCGATCCTCAGATCTCAGCCTCCTGAGTGGCTGGGATGACAGGTGTGAGCCACCAGTGCCTGGATCATATAGTATAATTCTTTAAGATCGACTAAGTCAAAGCCCAGTAAAATCAAACCCTAGGAAGTGGGGACTGGACAGGGGTGGGGTGGGGGTCAGTGGAGAGGGGTGGACGGATGGAGAGGAGAAGAGGGGGAGAAGGCAGGCAAGAATTCAGTGTGGGTCCCCCCAAAATGAAGCAGAGCGAGGGCAGGGGTGGGGGGGAGGGAGGAGGTGTAGAAAGTGGGGGACATGGATCCAGATGCGTTGTGTCCCTCAACAGCTCTGACCGACGGCAGCTCTTCCGGACAACGATTTAAGGGTGATGAAAAGTATTCAAAGGTAATGATATTCAACACTGCAGTGCTGTGTCAGGAGCGTTACAGGGACGTGTCCACTAGGCATAATTTATTTTAATTCTTTTCTTGGCAGTAAAGATCTAAATTTGCATCTTTTTGACAGATCGATTTAAGAGATGGCTAGGAATCCCCAGCTGAGCTGTGACTATTTGCCTCGGGATACCTTACGCTTCTTGAGAGTCGGAGAAATTCAAGTTTAACACATCAAGGTGGGGCCGAGCATTTAATGAGATGCCTTTGCGTCGTCTACAATGTCACATTTTCAAAGTGGTCTAATTAAAATAACCCCTGGGTCTACGGCTTTCAACGTAAGATTTGAAAATGGCTACAATCACTTTATGATCTAAGTTACTTTAAAATCGACTGGACGGGCAGGGCACTGGTGGCTCACACCTGTAATCCCAACACACACACACACACACACACACACACACACACACACACACACACACACACACACACGATGGTACAATCTTCTCAAACGTGTCCTCCTTGGAGCTCTCGAATTGTTCAAGTCGCTATTTTTCTTCTTTCCCAGTTGTCATGGCTTTGTAATTTCTCTCTTCCTTTTTCCCATGTTCCTTCAAGTTTATCCTGAATATTCTCACTTCAAAACAATCATTTGAGGATCCTGTTCATTGTTTCAAAAGAAGCAGGAAGAAGAAGAAGAAGGAGGAAGAGGAGGAGCAGGAGGAGGAGGAAGAGGAAGAGGAGGAGGAGGAGAAGAAGAAGGAAAGAAAGAAGAGGAGGAGGAAGAAGAGGAGGAAAAGGAGGAGGAGGAGGAG